AGTGCAACCACGGCGGAGTCTCGAGGTACTGCCAGGCAACTGTCGGGGACAGCGTCCAGCCTTCGAGCCCGAAGAATCAACAAAATGACCTTTTCAAGATTCGAGGCCCTTGATCAGCATCTCCAGGATGGTGTGGCGTTAGCGTCGTCTCCCCGACCCAGTAAGCTAAAGAGTGTTGCGGCACCAGCCTTTCCCGATGCACCTTTGCTGAAACGAGATCAAGATATCCACACTGGCACATCGTTGAGTTCTAGTCATACTTTTGTGTCTCGAGTTCAAAATCTAGTGGCAAATTGTCACCGGGGTTCGACGAGTTCTGCAACGCCCAGTGGAACGACGGAATCACTGACGACATCGCCACTCTCACCAGTTGAATCATATACCCGTCTCTACCCTGGAAGTGTCGAGACAGCGTTAATACCAGAGGAGGAGGATGCATACAGGTATCTCAACTTGATTGTTCTCTGCGTAGGGCAGACGCAACGCCTTGTGGATGGTCGGGAGTGCTCCGATCTATTGGCACAGTTTTACCGCGGTCGAGATGAGGCGGCTGCCCTGCCAGTGCCATCATATCTCCTAGTACTTCTTATCCTTGCTACTGGGAGACTGTTTGCCGGAGAATTTGACGGGCCGGAACGGACACCAGGCACCACGATCTTCGAATATGCTCACAAAAACCTCCCGACGCTGGCTGAGCTACTCCCATACAAAAGAACTGGAGTAGAGCTGCTCGGAATGACAGCTGCCTATCTTCAGAACGCTGATCGGAGACAAGAAGCCTATCTTTATGTGAGTTCGTTTTCCCACGCTGCGAATCTGGAGTGAAAGGGCTCATGCCTCGGCGAGTAGAGCAGCGCCGCCCTCAGACTAGCCATCGCCCATGGCTACCACCGCCTTTCCGGAACCAAAAGCCTCTTGCCTTCAGAAATGGTTCAGGTTAACAGATTATGGTGGACAATATATATGCAAGAAAAGTAGGTCGCTCTTTTCCACTGAAGTAACAGCCTACGCTGATCACCTCCCGACACAGACGGCTCGCCGCCGCTACAGGTAATCCTTCGGGCATCAACGAAGAGGTTATCGAAGTGATATTGCCAGAAGAATCTCCGGGGTTTGGCCCGGCTGGACCTATTTGCATCAATGCTAAAATAGCTCGCCTCACTGGCTGCATTATTGCGAGTATGGCACCGTCACCTTCCGAGTGCACAAACATGGGAATGCTGACAATTCGATGATAGCATTGTACAGCCCAAAGGTGCAGTCGGAGGACGTCTTCGTGCCTAATGTTATGGCCATTATGCGTTCCTTGCATGAAATATCAAACGATCTCCCCGCAGACTTTACGGCAAGCTTCCATGATTTAAGCCCCAGGCTTTCGATGAAAACCGCTGCCTCTTTGCACCTAATGCTCTATCAGGTACGACCGGCATATGTCGCCTCCCTCTCTATAATCTCTATAATTAATTCCAAGAGGCGAACGAAAGATTAAGAAGCGGGCTAACTGGACCAGGCTGCGCTGCTCACTATTCGACCTATTATGCTCCATGTGGCCCAACGTATCCTGAACGGTGACTATTCTAACGAAAGCGACGTTACTAGTAGTTGCATGAGCCGACTGTCCCGAACTTGCTCAGAGGCAGCGAAGAGACTTCTAAAAGTGGTCACAGCTCTTCATCGCGAAGGGATGCTAAGTGTGTTGGACTTCTTTTGAGATCGAGGAATAAGTTGGTACTAACTCTGCTTGGAGCAGCTCCCTTTGGGTTTACAGACTTTGACGCCACCTTTTCCGCCGCATTCATCATGATACTAGCTGTGATATTCGACACTGCGTGCACAGCGGAGCAAATGATCAACCCTACCGATGACCTAAACGAGGCTCTGAGGATACTGAAGCATCTTGCTGACTGTGGAAACAGTGTAGCTGCCGAGAGGGTTCGGGAGGTACAAGGCATGTGGACGTATCTCTCTGGTCATCTCCCCACTCTTAGCGCTAGAGGGGGCATTTCACCATCTTTGGAGCCCCAAATAATCGGAGAAGGTGCTCCCATGGCCCAGGTTAACGATAAAGAGGGTGAGATTGGTATCAGCGATGCAGTTAGCGGTAAAATCCCCAAGTTTCAGGGTCGACACGGGCAGAATCAGATGATAGACGACGAAACTGTTGTCGGTCAAGGTTCACAAGCCAAGGAGACAGAAGGCCGACCACTGGAATCTTCGGACACAAGTCTATGGCACGACATAACACTTCTCTGGCTGCCGAATGCGGAATCTGAGAACGTCACTTGCCAGAGAAGCGAGGGAGGAGAACCGGATGAATGCTTCAATTACTTTTCAATACTTGAAAATGGAGACTGGGCTATGACAGGGGAGGATAGGGTTGACTTTGCAGAATTGGGCAGACACATCGATGGGTACGAAAAGTGGAGCTTGTGAGAGCATTCTCTTCCAATGACGTGCTGTGTTGGGTGGTCCCCGCTCTTGTCCTGACAGGTTTACGACTTGAACTTGTTAGTATGCCGGGTCACTCGTTCGTCAAGTGTACGGAGGCCAAAGTGAGCTTACCAGACAGTAGTAGATGGAGTAGCAGCTCGCTTCGCCAGACTTATAGATTAGACGGTTGCTATCGCGGTAGCAGTTGAAGTTGTGGAACCCATTGCTAGCGGATCTGTTCGATGCACGCGTCAGTATAAGAAGATCAAGCTAAATCTAAAGCTTGCATAACGGAATAATGGATATTTAACATACCCTGCATACTTTCCTACAGCGTAGGAGCCAGCCCCAGACTGGATATTGCTCGTTGCCGTGACACCGGTACGGAAGGTGCAGCTGTTTGACTGACCCTCCCAGGTAATTGTGCGGACCCATTGGCAGATATCGCCGTCAGCAGGCACCTGACCGTTCTGCGAGTCGGCGTCGTTCACATAGTACTAGATATTAGCCTGGTCAGTAGCTCTCTGGTAGGGGGATGGGAGATTATTTTCGAGGAAGAACTGTCATGAAGGTCGTTGGAAGGAACGTACTAGCATCTCCGAGTAGCCAAGATCACAGTTCACAAGGTGGATAGCATCGGCCTGTACCTTGTAGACCAATGGCAGAAGAGCCAAGACAGTCTGGAACTTCATCTTGTCTGAGTTGTAAATGCTGTGCGCTACGCGTGTTCTGAAGTGAGTTGAATCGAATTCACTTGGCAATTTGGAAAGGGAGCATTTATCTGTTCAGTTCTCGCGTCTCAATTTTCACATTCTCTCGTATACGCGATCGCCTTCTCCCATACCGCCCATTGGGCCCCCATTTTCTTCGGCCCTTTTCATTTTTTTATTTATAATCCTAGACACAATCTCGCCACCGTGCTACAATCCACAATTAGGCAGCTGCGAGAGAGTATAGGGATAGAGGTCTACCATAGGTGATTTTTGGTTTGAATCAAGGCAGTGACACGTCCGTAACTAAACTCCTTCCTAACTGCTTCCAGGAGGTATTCCTAATATTGGCTGTCTCAGAAGTGGCGCTCAATAATCTTAAATTCTCTCAGCCTCGGTCTATCGATTGTAACTTGCGGGCTGAACTATACGGTACTAGCCTCGAGGGCTGAGACGCGCAAAATAACGAATCGCACGCACAGTCCATGTTACACCGGCGGATTTGCTTACTGAAGCCCCTACCTAAGCGGTCTCAATAATGTAACCGAGCCGATAATAGATTCTCCTAATCTATGCCATACAGTCATTCAATTTTTTCCGGCTGCGATGAGTGCAGTTCTCGCGCAAGGAGTTCAAACTTAGAAGGCCGAGTGTCGTATCCGTATCCTAGCTGGGCCGAAAGGCTCCATTTATCGTCTATTCGCAGTCTTGCCAAAATGGGTATTCCTTCTAGAAGCGTTGAATCGTCTAAATTCCTAGCGTAGCAATCGTATAGAATATATAGGAAAACTTCCAGAGAAGGCAATCCCAAGGCGAATCCTAAGAAGAAAAATACACTGCTGTTCGGAGAATTGGTCCTATCAGACATGCAGCTGACGCACCTAGGAAATTTGACCTAGGTCTGGGCATCAACCCTGTTTCAGTATTATTAGGCAGCTTCGGCCGGAATGAGCCTCCTCCAAACAAGCTCTGCACATTCTCATCTTTAGTTACTCGGGAGAGGAAAGCCTGCAATTGTGAATATCCCATCAGCGACACAGTTACAACGCATATCAACTCCGGTGGTCAACAAGCGGCCCCACCCGGTGTCTCAGCATTTAGTACTAATTATTTAGCTTAACTCGAAGTTCAGTGAAGCCTTACGTATGGAGGTAAAGGCTGCCATGGGACTCACAGAGCATTTCTAGATTCCTTACAGTATCTCACCTATTATTGTTACTCTCATTTCATCAAAATAGGAATAAATTGTCCCTAATGTCGCCTTGGAAAGCAATTCTTTGTTGGGAAGAGTTGAGTTTGGATCATGGGAATAGCCGTAGCCATTGCCAGGTACTAGGCTATCGATCTAATTCTATTTAAAGACCAGTAGAAAAATAAATGAGGATCGTAAGCGGAGAGAAGAAAGTGTCGCAAGCAGAAATGGAAGCGCCAGTCTAGACTGTTATAAATATCTCTAGAAAACAAGGCCATTGAAAAGATCTCTCCAGATGTAGTATTCCAAGTCGTGTGCTCTTTTATAGAATAAAATAATCCCACAGTCTATCACCATTGATGATCTCAGCCTTGGCCGGCTTTAACTTTTCATGCAGTTTGAGCAGCTGTAGGTGATACTATGATTACTATCTAATGGTTTCCGACTTAGAAGTTTTCTAATCTTGGCTCAAATATTCACTATATGAGCTAGGCTACTTACTGTACTCGAAAAGAAGGAATCGAGCCAAGAGAGGCCCACAGTCTGTTAACCCATTTTAAACCCAAAGTGTGTACCAACGCGGACTTCGGTAACAGCGGCAAAAAAAAAATTGGTAAAATTAAAGGCAGGCAGGCTTTAAAGGAAGGGTAAGAAAACCCCAAAAAAATTGCGCCGTTCGGGAATCGAACCCGAGCCGCAACTTTCAGTAGTGGAAGAGTTGCATCCTAACCACTAGACTAACGGCGCATGTCATTTCTGTTCAACTCCATTTTGCAGGATCTTTAATCCTATGCCATGCCCTTGCCTTTGCTTTACGCGATTGTGGATCTAGCACTAGGGTAGTGTAGACGCGCACAAATTAAAGCCTTGTCCAAGTACAAGGTAATGTTCATAAATTTCCACCCGCCGAGGTCCCGTTCAGTCCTCGGCAAATGCAGCCCATGTACAGCTTATGTCTAGATGTGATCTGCGGCATTGTTGAATTACTGGACCACGGCAGCTCCCACGAGTTCAAGTGGTGAAATTTCCTCCCTTGTGTTGGGACGCTAGTACAAGGTGAAGGTCGATCACGGTAAGTCCATAAAAGGTAGAGCTTCATGGACTCCTCTCCGATGAAAGGGTACCAGATATCAGTCAGAGCCACAGGGATGAGCAACATTCCGGAATCTAGCTTTTGTCCCCATGCAGAATAGTGATAGCAGAGCATATGCTGTTGAAAGAGTCCAACTTCTCGGATGCCCTGCACCCACCGGTCGGCGTACATATTATAGTGGACAACGAAAGCACACTCGCGATAAAAAGCCAAGCCAACATTTCGCGACTCTTTGCGAATCTTTCTGCCGCAAATGCTCCATAGACAATACTGAGAAGCGCAGCTTGTATGACCCTGCTTTCCTTGCATGCCTCTGGCTCTGAACCTCGATGGATGCGAGAATTGGCGGCGCTGGGGAGGATACAAGTGGATGTGGCCTGATTGCCGTATTGCGTAATCGACGTTTCCAGCTGTATGGTTGGATCCAGCTGGCTGGCGCTGGTCAAATGGCCAGTTTGGCCAGTTGAACCGGTTGACCCAGTATGGCCAGTATGGCTGGCAGCGCATCTCTATTTCAATCACTCGTTTACTAGCCAGTATAGCTAAATACTAGCCTACGCGTTCACCAAACCTTCCTCGGTCCCATACTAGCTCATACAAACGAACCAGCTCTACGGAGTAACGATCTGGCCGCTGTACGGATTTACGGAGCAATTAACTGTCTGCCGTACGTAGATGGTCGACCAGCCAGTTTTACAACAGGCAGGTCAAGCAAGCATCTCTCTTCCAACCACTCATTACAAGCCTATATAGCCATACAGCTAAATACTAGCCTTCGCTTTCAACCATACTTCCGTCGGTCCCATACTAACCCATAGATCCTTCCTAATTAGGAAACCTAGTTCAACAGTTCTTGACCCATTTGGCTCTGCGTTAGCCTTTTTGGCTTCCTGTTGACCCTATAAACTTCCCTACATCTAGGTCAAATACTTTCTTATAAAGGCAGTGGCCTTTTAATTCCTACACGAACAAACAAATAGGGGTTGTATTGTATAGGTCGTGTCCCCCCTTTAGGTCTCTTGCGTTCACTCGCATAGAGCGATCCCGTAGAACTACGCTAGACTAAACTGGGATAACCATTCTGCTCGGATGTTCGTCATCGGCACAAAGCCACAAAGTATAGCCGGTGTGCTCCCGAAAACATCGCGCAAGCTGTGCGAGGGGGTATCGCAGCCAAACTTCGTCGACTCCGAATTGGCTAAGTGCATTCCTCGCTGCCCAGCCTATTGGTTATCTCTGGCGCCGCTCCTTTCATCTTGATTAACAATGGCATCGGCCGTGTCAGGAAGCGGGGACGCCGCTCCATGGCATGCAGCCTATCCGAGCCCAAGCGTATCGGCCGCCGAAATTGTCCGAGAGAGTGTCCTGGACTTGCTCCGCGACACGACTGGCAACGCTGTGAAAGACTTTGTCCTAATTGACGTCCGTCGAGACGATCACAAGGCGCGTCAAGTCTCCTCGCCCGATAAGGAGTCATGAGAATTAATTAATGGTACATATAGGGGGGAACGATTCGAGGATCTATCAATCTACCCGCGCAGAGTCTATGGCCGTCTATTCCTACTATCTACCAGATTTTTAAAGCCGCCGGGGTACGGAAGGTGATTTGGTACTGCGGTATGAAAGCCAAGCACTCCCACCCCGCGGTTTTGATTGCCAAGAACGTGGCTAATTCGGGCAGGGTCCTCTGGTGGACGCGGCACTCGGACTGGGGGCTGGTTCGCTGACCATATTGCTGACCAGAAAGACAAGACGATGGAGAGCCTGATTCTTGTTGGCGGTATTAAGGGATGGGTCAAAACCGGAGGCGAGTATTTGCAATGGATGGACGAATTCGACGAAGGTGCTTGGGACCCGGCAAGCTCGTAGGTGGGTATTTCCTCTTGCGCCCAAACCCACTGAGTAGTTCAAAACGCGCTCCTCACTATCAAAACGGAATTGTCGATCGTACCGTCAAAGGTTGTGTATCTCGTTTTCCATATTGCTCGCCTCGCAGACACACAAAATTGCACAAAATGACCTTCACTCTGCATGTATACCCCGTGCATTCCCCCCGAGAGCGTTTTAGGTCACTGCTCTTATTGCCCGTCAAGTCTTGCGTAGAAAAGGCACTTCCAGATCGTAAACCTATCCGGTGGCCGCCTCCATATCATCATAAGTCGTAAGAATATACTCAAGGATCAGCCGGAAAGGATCAGTGAAACTCCCCAAGCCTGGGACCAAAATACTCCCCATCGCCGAGGAACTTCAGCCGACAGGGATCGAGCTTGCTCTCGCATCCGCGCCACGATACTTCATTGCCCCACCAGTTAAGTTGGATATTGGGCCACTGGATGGCCCAAAAAATAACCAAGCCGGAGATGGCGATGGCAGACGAGAGAGATGCCGAGAGCAGGAAGTTGAACTTGGACCATAGGCCCAACCACCGCTTGCGGACGTACAACCAGCTGAACCAAGCGATGGGCACTGCGGGCATAATGTAGCCCACATTGTACGGGGCCCAGTGAATTGCGCCCGAAAGCAGGACGACAGGATGCACTTGACGCAGCCATGTCTGCTTGGGCAATTTGCGCTTCATCCACCAAAAGCCCAGGGCTACAACGATACCCAGCGGGAAACCCAAGAGGGTCATGCTGTAGTAACCGCCATTTCCAAACACCTTCCTCGGTCCAATGGTGCCCCACAGAATGGACGACGTGAAGAAGGAGTTGACAAAAGGACAGGTGAAACGGTTGGGAGCCTCCATGGTACAGACTCCCGGAATGTAGTTCATCTGGAAGTTCAACACCAGCGTCGAGACGAAGGTTGAGATCAAGGTCGCAATCATCTGCACGGCGAACGTTTGCCTCGGAGGGATCTTTACATAATGAGCAAGTTTTAAATCTCTTGCGAACCAGACAGCGTGTGAAACTGTCACCATGCTGCCATCGTCGTTAGTACATACGGGTAATATCCGTATCTAGCGAGTTACTCACCCATAGGCCTTGAAGTAGTTCATTGCCAGCGCATTGCCGGGAACTATGCATCCACCAATAAACTCGGCGATGATGCCGAGATTCACCTCAACGCCTGTGGTAGCCTTGATGACGCCAATTGGAACGATGAACATGATGCAGAGCGCGATGCCATAGAATACCACACCAGGCGTCGTGTTTGTTGGCCACGCCAACACTCCCGCAATGCCGCAGGCAACTGCAGCGACAAGAACGCCGAAAAACCACCAATTGGGTACTGCAGTGATTTGTTAGTCTACTGAGTCCTCAGAATGAGATAAAGCTGACTTGCCTTCTTTGTACGACTGCATGAGCCTGTTGTGTACATCTTCATACTTGTCGTCTTCTTTGATTTGAGAGTGCCGAAAGCTTCTATAAAACTCCACAAAACCAAGCTTGATCTCATGCGAATGATACAGAGCGGCAAAGGCAAGCGTAGCAGTGTAAATGCTGAAGTAGAAAATATAGATGTTGATGTTTCCCGCCGAAAGGAAGGCCGGTGAGTAGTTGTTATACTTCTCTTGGACAAATAGACCCTGGTCGTCAACGGCCTTGGTCACGTTGTATAGCTTGCCTTTGTTGTCAAAGATGCGGTTGGAGTTGAGCGGGAGATAGGCTGTATTCCACGCGTTGGTATACCACATGCCTAGAATCACAAACATGGACATGAAGTTGCCAGCGAACTTGTTCAACGTGGTGAAAAAGGGCAGCATGAGCGGGTCAGATCCACCATGTAGCACATTGTTGTAATCGAACGTCGGCAACGGGTTCAGACCGAGCCCATTGTTGAACCCGACGACGCTGTTGAGTTTGACGTTCCAAGGGTCAATCCACGATATCCAGTTGAAGATGCTCATGGCTTGAAACAAGGTGTTAGGTAGCCAGAAGTAGACGAACATGGCACTGAATGCGATGAGGAAGAACCTCAGCCTAGTCATCGAGACCAGCTTCTTCCATGGGCCCATGACCGGTGTGCTTACCCCCTCGTGGAAGGCGTTGTTGAGGGCCATGGTAACAAGCGATGTCGGCCACACGCAGTACGAAGGCCAGACAAGGAACCGCCGACAGACTCCAGCAAGGCCATAGCCGATATAGTTAGTCGCCAGGCCGATCAGTATCTGATAGGCAAAGCTACCAGCATACCGTTGGTTGAAATACTGTGGCAGATACTGGACCCAGATGATTAAGTTGGTGAAAGGCGCCCCGCCACCGATACTGGACATGATGGTGATGAGCATGTGCTCCTTCTTGGAGAATGGACCGGGGTTCAAGCTGTGGCGGACACCAAATAGGGTAACTCCCCAGTCCGGCAGCCATGCAGCGGCCGCTCTTCCGAGGGGATACGCCAGCAGCAGAGCGACGTGTCCGCCGACGTGGATGGACGGCTGGCGGATAGAAAACAGCTGGTTGATGATGGCCATGGTAACCGAGAATGAGATCCCAATGGCCCATGCTCGAATCGTGCCACAGGGGATGTTGGGGTCGTCATGGTTGTCGACCACTGCTCGCACCTCCGCGTAGGGGCTGTTGTACGTGATCATGGCTATTTCTAGCTTCACTTCCCGGATGAGGGCTCGATAGTTGTGGGGATTCTCAAAGACATCGGGGTTCTCTATCGGAGGCATGAATACTAGGCGGCGTGGATGGTATAGTGGTATGGT